TTTCCCTACCTGGAAATAATTTACAAAGCACTGCATCCAGACCAGCCACTCTGCTAGTTAGTCCTCAGTGTCACCCTACTTCCAAGGATGTGCTACTTTATTTAGCACAGTATGCTAAATAAAATGTGTCTGAAAATCCCCTGCAATTTTGGTGGAGGCAATTTCAGGTCAGACAAAACCTCGCTGACATTTCTAGATTGAGTTTTATGCCCATCAAGGTGATGCAGAGGGTAGGTTTAACGTTAAGTGAATAGTAAATTCTAGACTTAATTCAAGTTGTGCTTGAACCAATCAGTTGTGCTTTAAAGTAAGATTAAACTCTTAGAGCCTGGCAATGAAAAAAGAGATTTCTAATTGAATCTTGTTCAGTGTGTGGCACAGAGAGGGCGGGCAGGCCCTCYCTCAGCTCAGTCGCTGCCGGGGGACCTGCTCCTGCCCCTCTCACTCGCTCGCTGATCGTCAGGAACACCTCCCTGGTGCTGCTTCCCGCCCTGCCCCGCGCGCTTCCAAAGGGCTCCTCCAAAGCATCTGCTCCGTAACCTATTACTCCTCTTCAAAGGTTTTAATAATCTCCTCTTCTGCAACACCTACAGACCCTGACAAGGGGTATCTACTCGGAGATTGCTGATGTGTGGAGGACACTGCCATCAAGATGACCGATAAGGCCTCATTGTTCCCCGGCTTCCTGCCTCTCCCTGGTCCTCTTCCCCGCACGCAGCTCGTGACCGTTCTGCGACAGAAGCAGAGGGTTTGGGCCCACATTTCTGCATCATGTAGCAAAATGGGATCTGGCGCTGCCACAGGACTCCCGGTGCTACAGGAAAACAGAGTATTCASATTCACAGTATTGCACAGTATGGATGGCTTTGCTAATGCTTGGAAGTGAACTCCAGACAAAAACGCAGGGAGGACTGGCTTCTCTCTGGAGAGAGCATTTGGCATAGGGATGATGCTAAATGCACAAACATTGCTATTTTATTTTCAGATCAATAAAAAACAAAACAGTTCATACCACAATATCATATGCAAGTTTAAAGCAATTTCATGCCTGCCCAAACATAACCAATATCTTTTGGTAGCAGAAAAATATTAAATGAAAGAAAGCTTCCAGACCACATCCATTCATTCTAAACCCTGCACCATTTAAACACTACCTATTTATTAAGGCTGGCAGAAAATTTTTCTTTAAAGTTGATTTTCATAGGAAGTGCCATACTCAGCAAAACACCTTTCACAGAAGCAACATTTCAGGCTTTCATCAAAAATCAGTTTKTGTTTTGTTTCTGCTGATGGCAAATGGGAGTGAAAACAGAGGGAAGCAGATTGGGGGGGAAAAAAATCAAGCAAATCTTATTAGAATGTCCTCACACTAGTTAATCTGAGTGGAGACATGGAATAACTCATTATCCCTGCACAGAAAGCCTTTTTTGCTCTCCTTCCTGGCTCATCATCAGAAAGGAGAAAACAGACTGGTAGAGCACGTTCCAGAAAACGATGGGACTTGGAGAAACCGCGTGCACAGTCCTCCCGAGCAGCTACGCTCTGTACACATGTAAATCCAACCAGAGCAATCTGCTGCCCTCCTTTGAAGAGCAGCTCAGAAGAGGAAGATGCCCAGACAGCAGGGAGAGAAGGAAAAGTGTGATGCAAGCTGCCGCAGCTTATGGAGCAGGAGTGCCTTTCTTCCCAAAATAACAGTGGGAATACTGCTCTATCTCGCTGGGGTCAGCTCTTGCAACCAAAAGCAAACCCAAAGCACGTGTGCATATTTACCTCTTACTTCAAGAAGAGCTTTTTGGAAATGAGTCCAACAAAGGATTTGATCCTTTACTAATTTATTTCGGTTTGACACTGCTGTATTTCAGCTAGGGTCAATAATGTATGTAACATGAATGTACAAGGGTGATTACACAGTCCCATCATTTCATTGCTAATATCACCCTCCTCCTCTGTGAAGCTGAACGTTAGTGCTCAGGTAACATTACTTACAAATTCCAGCTTGGTAAAGTATGGCTTGTAAGGTGGGAAAAGGTATGAAGCTGGAAGCCTCAACGTGCACTAATTCTCTTTGCCTCCTTCTTCAGTTGTACCCATACCCACCACAACCGAGCTGCTAGTTGACCTTGGGGTATTTGGTGACAATCAGATCCTCCTACTCTAACTACCAAAACTTACATGCCTAGACAYGACAGCTGATCCATCACCAAGGAAGCCTGTAATTTTAAACAATTCATTGTCATCAATTTTGTAATGAAAAGCAGAATCCCTGAAATTTCCTGTAGAATTAAGGATGCAAACTAGCAACTGTTTGGCAGTTTTTCTTCTAGAAAACATTGAAATTAAGTTTACTCTCCAAGTCTTAACTTTGAAGCTCCTGGCTTCTGATCCTGTGGCTCTGGATGCCCGCTGTTCCCTGGCAGACTGAGAGAGAGCTCCGAGGTGGTGGCTCAGCCAGGAACACGAAGCTCCTGCGCTGGGGCTCCCGGCCCCACAAGCAGAACCGTCGCTGCCGGGAGGCGCCGGGCGGCCGGCGCGGCGGCTGCCGCRGCCATCGCCAGCCTCTCGGCTCGGACAAACCGGACCCACGAGGGAAAACTCTCCTGTCAGAAAATGTCAAGCTAGTTCAAATCCTAAACTAACTAGATATTTATCAGTAAAATGTTATTTCTACCCAAACTACAGAAAATCCTAGTCACTGCCAACAAAGTTTAGCTCTGCCAAGCCCTCTTCCTCCACACTGACCCATATTTTATACATTTAATTTTTATAGAAAGCATATGAAAGGAAATGCTGGGAAGATTAGCACTGCTTTTTGCACAGCTATATCAAAACATATGCCCAAACCAAACAGAACATATGTAAATAACAATACCGAAAATAAATTAAAAACAAGCCAGCAGAAAATTCCATTGCTTCAGCTGAAGTTTTCCCAGTCTGACAGATAAATTACATTTTTATCCTGCAGTTACCCACTTACCATGCCTCACACCTATCTCCAATATATTAAAATGTAAATTATGCTACAGAGGTAAACTGATGGGAACTGTTCAATGAAAGGATATGAGCTTTAAGTCATATTTATAGGGTGATGCCTAGRAGAAACAGAAGAGGAGAGAAATTAAACTGAATTCCAGAAACTGCAGAGAAGTTGTAGAAAACAAAGAATTTTCCCTATTCTGATTATGAATCAATCTAATTCAGTTCTCCTACTTTGTAGAAGCATATGTTAAAATATTTTTAAAAATCTCTTGGCTATCTTAGCTTACTCAGGTAACTACTCGATGGTAAATCTGTAGTAAAAAGCAAGAACTTCTTGGCAATGACGATTAAGATCCAAACGCCTTCTCTTCCACTTCAAGTTACCACCATCACATTACCACTGCGGTGAGCTTGCCAGGATACATGAACGTGACCAGGCAGCACAGGGGATGAATGCAGTACAGGATGAATCTTGTGTTTCTGCTGCCTCCATCCTGTGCTCGAGCTAAAGTGCACGTTGCGAAGCTGGCCTGAGGCTCCCACCAAGTGGGGGGCTGCACCAAGCAGCACAGTCCCACCTCAGCAACACCCAAACCCCACCAAACTCCGCTCACTGCTGCCTCCCCAGCAGGAACCGGGTGGTGTGAGGGGCAGCACATCCTCCAGGCAGCCACAGGGGCTGATCCCAGCCTCACGGCTCCTTTGGCACTGGCAGAACTGCCCTTCAGGCCTCCCCCAGCACATCTCAGGTCTGGATGACTTAGCCCTTTCCCACTGCACAAGTGGGAGGCCTTGACAGAGCTCCCGGTCGTGGCTCCTTGTCCGCTGGGCTGCAAAAGTTCAGTTTTACATACACAGCTGGAAACCCTGGAGACTGCTGTGGCACATGGTGTTGATGGAGAAGCAAATCATGGCTATATTTGGATATATGGCAAAACCTTGACAGATTTGTACTTTTCTTTGTACAGTTCAGTAAGGAAGAGCCCTGTTTGGAGGGAAACCTGTGAGTCTTGGGACATAAACCATCCATGAAAGTAATACTATGGCTCTTTGAAAGAACGGGAAAGGAGCTATTTCCCGAAGCGAGTATCCAAATTCAGTGATGGAAATAAYAAAGGATACCTTGTGCTCAGGACTCCTAGATAATACAGTGCCATTTCTCTCCTAAACACAAGGATTTTCAACAAATTCATTGCCTCATCCTAGTATTCAATGAATATGGAAAAGCAGAGCACATAGATGCTTGCTTGCTTGATTAAAACAAACTACTATGCCTGTGCCTGTGTTCCCAGATGCAATATTCTAGGGTCTCTGTTTATGAGGGAGAAAGGAAGGGCTTAATCCCCATTCAAGCAAACAGCAAAGCAACAACAAACTGTACAGCCACCTTCTCCACTGCCTCAACCACTTGCCCTTATAAGCATGTCCCTAAATAATATTTTGGGTATATACCTAACCAGCATTTTAGTAGGGTTTGCTCATTGMGGGTGGAAGGCAATGATACGACTGAAGGGAAAAGGAGCAACTCTTCATTATCAGCATAGACTTTGGTGAGGTTCTCAGCCAAGTCTTGTCATGACTTTTCTCGAACAAATCCCAGATACATGAGGCAAAAGCAAATTACAGCCAAGTCATCAGTCTGGACAGTGTGAGGATCAGGACCTCAGAGCACACCACAGCAAGCACCYGCTGCACAGCTAAATACAGTCACAGAGTCCAACCTGCTCCATAACCCCTAGAAGAACAGATATTACAAACACCTTGCAGCACCATGGTCCCAAAGCAGGTACTTTTAGTGGATTATGGCTGCAGAATTGGGTCCATCTGTGTTAAAATCCACCACAAATCTTTTAGAATTTCATTTGCATTAAGTAAATTTGTCAAGCTTTTGAATGAATGCTCAGGACAAATTTCCGTAAAGCCAGCTAGGAAAGCAAATGGTCCTCTTTAATTAATGCTTTGCATTGAAAAAATGTGCTCCCAAAGAAAACAAGTGCTTTAGTGATGCTTGCAAGGCCTACCTTGCCCACACCGGGAGTGTCCTTCACTTTGCTGACTGCCCTCAGCAAACACGGTGGTGCAGGGGGCGGGGAGGTCTGAAGGATACTGCTGAAGCTGGTGGAGAAGGGGGCGGATTCGGGAACGGATGACGCAGAAGGCCTGTGCTTCTTCTTTTTGGAAGACAGGTTCAATTTCTGAGCAGCTCTGTCGGAAAAAGGAAAAGAGTGAGCTAAAAAGAAAAACAAATCAACAGTCGAGAATAAAAAAAGTATTAAGCAAGTTCCCATTTAAATCTCATTTTTGTCCTCGCTGACACTAACAATTTATAATTCTAATTCTTTACTCATTATTGCTGGTTTAACTCCACTAACTTCATAAAGTTCCTCCAAATTTAACCACTCTGCATTAATTAGGGTCAGAATCAGGCTTCTGTCACCATATCCTTTATTGAAGCAATTCAGGCTGCAAAAAAAAGCATCAAACTCTGCAATTAAATTAATGAGCTATACAGCAATTTATGTTTTAAAATTAAGTTCAGTCACTGAATAGTGCACAAAGAACTGTTTGTCATGCATACACCTTTGATTAGAAAATGAATGCTTCTGCAATGTTTGGAAGTAAGCAGCTACTGTTATGGTAATTCGTATTAAATGCTCAGGTGAATCTGCTGAGCTGTGAACAACCTTGCTCTGTTTCAGGATTTTATCACCTTTTAAAATAAATGCTAGTCTAAAAACTGAGCAAATGGTGCTCAGTGAAGACTTTGCTGTGTGCCATGAGATGGAGATAATCGCACCAACTATGGCTGCATTAACCATTACAAACTGAAACTAAATTAAGACTTAGTTTTATTAGTGCATTACACTTGGATAAGAATGCTAAAGGACATCAGATAAAACACCAAGCTTTTCTGGAACAGAATTGCTCAGTACTTTTGTTTTGCCTTTTTTTTTTTTTTTGAAAGAGAGAGAGAATTCAACATTTAGCCTTTGTTATTGCTGTTTTGTCCCAGCATATTTGTGCATCCTGAGTTGTCCAGTGATAACGCTGACACCAATCACACTGTCCAAGGGTTTTCCCCTTTGTAAAGCAGGTACTTTAAACAGAGCTGGATCAATGGGGTAAAGCAGCATCTCAAAGGAGAGATGGATAAAACAGTTCAGGAGGTTCCTTTCATGTTRTTGGCTTTGGCAGACAAACTGCAACTTAAGATCAGTTTAAAAGCAGTCTGTGTTGACAGCAGCTCTTCTAACCTCGCTGGAGTATGTCAGGCAAGACCAGCAGTTCTAAATCATCCTCAGTTTTATGAAAATGTAGCTCCACTGCACTGTTACCAATGCATACTATCCAACTCTGAACTTCAAAAAGTGATTAAAATAATTTAACAGAAGGAGTTAGGAAAAAAAAAGACTGAACAAATAAGCTTTTACAAACATACACTCATTTCGGTATGCATGCTTCTTGTGTTTATATCAGATGTCTCAGGGACATGAAGAAGTTACTATTAGGCATGAAGCTGCCATATGTTAGCTGACTCTGGGTACACTATGTGCATTGGCAATGTGTATCCTTTTAGCCTGTGGCAAATGCAAAACAGTTCCAGACAGATCAGTTTTTAATAAGCAAGAAAAATTAAGAGATTTTAATTGACCTCATACAGAATTACAATTACAAGTTTCTGTATCACTTTGTTGTTCTTGTCCTTCCCTTTCCCTCTGGCCTACAAACCTAGGTCTCTGTTTTAAGATGTTCTGCTTATTTTCTTTTGAAGACAGAATCAAAACATGTCAGCCAAAAAAAAAAAAAAATGCAAAAAAGTACTATTTTCTCCTTTTCTTAGCAACATTTCAATGGTTTGAAAGGTTTAATAATTTCAGCCTTCTTGTTGTCAACCACCAATGCTTTGGTAAGGTTATCTTCTCCGAACCAAGGTTTTCAGTAAGCTATAGCTGCACTATAGCATTATTTTAAGCAAAATCTTGCACTGCACATAATTTAAACTACAAACACAGGGCAAACACACTCAGAAATGTTCTGCTGTGTTTACATGGTCAAGCTCTGTAGTCTGCTCTTCAACAGAGACAGCAGTTCCACCCACTTAGCACTTACCTACTGCCTCCTTAAYTCACCTCTGGTGAAAACACCTCTACAAAGTTGAGTGAAAACACCTCTACCTCCTAAGTTGACTGAGCCATGAGCTCTCTGGTCTCTTGTCTTGTCTACAGCTTTCCCAACCTCACGCTGTTCCCATTTCTACGCTGATAATGTAATACAAGCCAGTTCCTGAACCAAGCCCAGAGCTGACATTTTTCTTAAGGAAAAAATACACTGTTGGAAGATGGCTGGCCTTTTCAAATCACTGGAACTATATCCTTGTTTGACAGTTATAACCTTTGAGATAACATTCAAATAGATGAGCCTGAATTTTACTTTATATGTTGGGCCAACAGCTGGTAGAATATATGGTAGGGGAAAAAAAGAGAAAAGAAAAAGAATAAGAACTAAATCTCACAGTTTCATGAGGTTTTCTCTTTTTCCCTAAGGATAGAAAATCAATGGGTGGAAGGCCAGAAAACCATTTACAAACCCCGCCAGACTTGACTGAATTTCAAGGGCGATCAGAAAGGTAGTATCCTTGGATAGTTCCCAGAGCATCTGATCCAGAAGGGCATTTTAAGCAGCTGTGGGCTGCATGATGACACAGACCTGCAGAGTGTGGCTTTCTCTGGGCACATCTGCACGAGTTCACCCTCACTTAGCCCGGGTAGCCAGCACTGCACTGAACTGAACACGGTTGGTCACGCAAGCCAATGCAGTTGGCCACGTAATTTGAGCACAGAAGTTGGAGAAATCTCTCGTTTAACCTTGTGTGGCCATGTAGGGGCCTGGATCGTGGACTCTTGATACAGAGAGGGCCGATATCGAAGGCGCTCCCATGGAGACTCCCTGGAAAGCCCAGCCAGCCACGCAGGGGCTCAGGAGGCCTGCGCGTCGCTCCAGCACCCGCTCAGCCACCATCTCTTTGCCTCTGCTCTTTGTCCAGGAGAAGCTCATTAGCTTTCATTTAAAATCTTCCGTAAAAGGACTGTGATTTCCACTTGAGACTGCGCACAGGGCTGCAGGAACTGCAGYAGCGAAAGGGCAGCCTGGTTTTCACTCGCAGCGCRGTGCGGGCTGAGCGAGGGCCGTGACGGAAGGCGCAGCTCGGAGGGCTCCTCTGCGGCCATTAYGGAGGGYGCRGCTCGGAGKGCTCCTCTGCGGCCGTTATGGAGGGCGCAGCTCGGAGGGCTCCTCTGCGGCCGTTATGGAGGGCGCGGCTCGGAGGGCTCCTCTGCGGCCGTTATGGAGGGCGCGGCTTGGAGGGCTCCTCTGCGGCCGTTATGGCGGAGCACAACGTTGTGTCCGGAGGGCTCCTCTCCACACAGACCCTGTCAGTGCCATGCACACTGCAGCTCTGCTGGGCACCCTCCCTACCCCGAAACCTGGGCCGACCCCAACTTCTGCTCCGTGCCAGGTCATCATCTGCTCCGTGCTGAGCCTCTGTGCGGGCACGCTCCTGCAAAACTCAGGTGCCTTTAATGGGATTTCAGAGAATGCGTGTCCAGATTCAATGCTGTTTGGCCAATACACTTTGGATTCACACCTTCAGTTAATTTGTATTATTTTTCCTGAGAGTCCCTGCGTAAACAAACTGCTCGAGACGTCGTGAAAACTTAAAAGATTTGTGACAGAGGAAACAACTGCAAGATCAAGGTTTGAGAATGCAGGCAGAGTGCTAGGAAGCTGATTAAAGTTCAATCCAAATAAAACAGATGGATGGCTGGCAGGAAAGGGGAAGTGCTTTGAATACTCGGCTGATCTGCAGCTAAGACTGAGTTCTCCAGCTGAAGGGACACGCTTTGGGCTTTCCTTTTACAAGACAAGCACAAGAAGGTAATGCAGGGCAGCCAGCATGTTTTGCACCTCCCACTTATTCACAAACGGTTATGGAATTCATCCTCTTAAAACTCAATGGACAACCTGAAAATTTCAGGAAAACAAAAAAAAACAAAAAAAAAACAAAAAAAAAACAAAACAACAAAAAAAAAACCATCACAGAGGTAACTTCGCTTCAGTGAAGGCCAATTCATGATTGACAGGAACTTCCTGAAAGGGCCTCTGTAGAGGTTACTGGAAAAAGAAAAGCCAGCCAGCCCAGAGGTGATTCTGAGAGGGTGGCAGGCGAATGACACTGTTCAGAAACCTAMGGGGAGAAATGAATGAACAGAAATGAACTAGATAAGCCATTTTTAGCACAGAACAAATTGAGAGCTAGGGTGACCCAGTCATCTCTACCAAGGAAGTTATTCATATTGGCTTACAACCAAGCCACGAGTGAACCATGGAGCTGGTGAAACTCTTTAGGCAGTGGAAAGGCATTATGGAAAAGTGTAGAAATACCTCAGGTAACTGAGGCGAACAATTAAAGCACAAAAACACATGCAAACATAGAAAGAGCTTGACCATTCATGGCTTTAGCTGCTCACAGGAAGCAACTTCAGAAACTCTGAAGAGAACTCGATTAAAAATAAATAAATAAATAAATAAATAAATAAATAAATAAATATTCCAACTTACCATTCCACAACAGCCAGGGAAAACAAACAAGCAACAACAACAAACAGAAACCCTGTTCCTTGCTTCCCTGCAGTGCACAATGGCAACGTATCTCTGGCTTGAACAGAACGGACCGGGACCTCATCTGGGGTAAATCTCTAAGATCATGAACTTCAAGCAGCCCAGCTACACCAGTGCTCAGTCTATGTACCTCATTTCAGTAAGAAAATAGTGACTGCTAATAAAACTCAAGGGCCACCTAAAAGCATGTATTTTTAACACCCACTAGAGAAGCTGTAATCTTCAAAGTATTCTTTTTAATTGATGTAATGTCAAACAAAAGTATACTGGAAGCCTGCCATTAGCTTTCATTATTTCCAATGGAAATGTTTGCAAATACGACTTCAATGGTTTGAGATAGATGTGCTCGTTTAAAACGCGTTGCCACAGGTCCTCATGTAGCTGTAGTTCAGAAAAAGGCAACAGCTCACAGCGAAATCATGAACATGCAGCGAAATCTTGACATGCTTTGTCAAGAGCTCTGACAAAGATGAACTCCTCCTTCTACCATTATTATTTTTGTTACTGTCATTTCTAATTGATGCAGT